CACACACGCTCACCACCCCACCCCCCTCATCGTTCTCCTATCGATCCACTTAGATCTCCGTCTCTTTATTACTACTATATTTTTCTTGACCGATTCCTCTAGTTCTTCATTGTCGTTCACCGAAGCCAGCGAGGGTTATTTCTTCCCATAGACGAGGCCGGCTCTTGTCTGCCCCTTCTTGGACATCTCCCTAATTGGTCAACAGGACCTCGCTGGCCTTTCCATCGTTTGGTCAGTAATCAGAATCTTTACAGGTTTTTTTTTTCTTCCTGTCTTCCGTTTCTCTTCTTTCCTGTTTCTTTTTTTTTTTTGGGGGGGGGGAGGGGGTGTCTTCCTTATTTTCCAGTCTCTTTTTCCGCTGTTTTGACACGAGCACATTTGTTCCGGTTCTTGTAATGTGAGAAGCGCTGGCAATGAAAAACATGAAAATACACTCTCAGACGACGGAGGAAAACAGGGATGGAATGGATCCTTGCCAGACTGGCTAAAGCTTGATAGATATAATAATCCTATTTTAAGAAAAATCTTAGGGTCCGTTTCGTGGCTTGTTATTTTGGAACTCTTCGTTTTATTGTGCTTTAGAGTTATTGCCGTTTCCCAGTTGATCATTAATTTTTCTTTCAACCTACAGAGATTTCGATATTACAGATACTACTCAATTATTTTCGTTTTCGAGACAGTTCAGTTCCATGAGTTGCAATTCTTTGTGTGTGTGTGTGTGTGTGTGTGTGTGTGTGTGTGTGTGTGTGTGTGTGTGTGTGTGTGTGTGTGTTTGTGTTCGTATTTATGAGAATGGCGTATTTTTAATTATCTGTGTTTGATAAACTTACCCCTGATAACGCGCATTGATGTCTATGAGACGTGTATACCATGGGTTCATACAGATTTGTCTGACAAGGAAAAAGCAATATTGACTAGACAGCTGTTAGTTTTCCTAAAGATTGAACATTATTTGTAAGGACTCGATTAAAGTAGGAACAACTCGATATTTACTTGCTAGACAAAATACAGTCTAGTGCGCATACAGCGAACTCGCACACAGCGGCGTACGCACATAGAGAACATGTTTTCAGATCACGAACAATTTTCTTAAATGTATATTCCTTGCATTTAAAACATGTGCATTTTGAAATGTGTACATAACAAAAAAGACTTCTGTCCAACAGATTTTGCTATTCGCGTGATAGATAGATAGATTGTAACTAGAGTACTTAAAAAGACGTGGTAAAATCGACATATAATGATAGTTTAAGTTGTAATAGTAATGTACTCTTATTTTGTGAAATTATGCTCCAAATTCTCTTGTACATCTTTGTCTTTTATTTTCCGTATTAGTTGTAATGAGAAACAGTAATTTCTGAGGAGACGATTTTTTCTTTTGCCTGGATGAGTTGTTTTAGACCTTACAACAATGTTTTTATCCCAGTTTACTGATTCTGTCTTGTAATGTTTTCTCTTCATCAGCATTTCATTTTTCTTTGTTCTTTGTTCTTTCCATCACACTTTGCTAATTTCATTCTTTCCCCAACTCTATTTTCAAAATACCCGCTGTTCTGATCACATTTCCGTCCCTTCTCGGCTAGACGATGTCCACTCAACACTTAACCACCAGACACGGGCAACAAAAACCAACTTGGATTATTTTGGCCCAACAATTTTCTCCATCTACCGCTTGACTTCCCCTTTTTGTAACTCCCTTTCCACTACATTCTTCTCCATAATCTGCCGGCTCGCCTTTGTCGTCTGGACTCGGAGGAAAAACGGCGAGTCATTAGACGTGGGCGTCTCGTATTCAGGCTGTCTCACTCTGCCGGACAGCGCGAGGCTGTAAGATGAATAACCTCGCTGCCCAGTGGTCAACCAGAAATCAGCAAGTGTTTTAATCTTTGGTGGCTCAAGACTTTGTAGTGATGAGAGGTGGGGAAAGGAAGTGAGGGAGGGGGGGGGGGAGACGCTCGAAAGGGAAAAGAAAACAAAAGACGAACTACGGGCGGTATTGATCAAGGGTGTTTCTCTGTTCTCTGCTTGCCAGCGAGTCCGAGAGTGATATTAGTCACGACCCTCACCCCTGTTATATTTTTTTCCTCCGATTTCCTATTTGGCGAAAAGGACTTGCAGCGATTGTGTTCTCTTCGTTTCTTCTCTTCTGCTCTCCTCTTTTCTTCCGCAGCTTTGTTTGTGCTGTTTCGTTCCATCAAAAGAGAACCACGGGCCATCATTCTAGTCGACATATTTCGTCTAGGCTGCTATTGCAACATCACTCTTAGTAATTGTGTTTGCCAGTCTACGTAATATTCACTTAGCTTGTATTGTGCTGGACTGAGTTGCAGACGACCCTTGTTTGAATCCCGAAAAGTGGTGTTCTTGAAAAAAGGTTTCTCTTCGAAGTATAACACTTCTGGTCTTTCTGCCAACTTAGATACCTCCTATTAGAGACACGTGGAAATTGGGCTTTTGAATGCACAAAATGTGGTAAACTTTTCTGTGTCATAATGTGTCTCTTTGGCCATGGCAGAAGCCACAAGTCATTTTGATTTTTTATTCCGTCAGTTTTTCTGCTTTGCTTTAGAAATTATAGTACCATATGCGGATGCATTAGTCATTGCTAGACTTTGACAAATGAACTGATATTATTAGTATAATAATAATAATATATTATTATTATTATTATTATTATTATTATTATTATTATTATTATTATTATTATTATTATTATTATTATTATTATTATTATTATTATTATTATTATCACTGGTGACTGACATTACAACATGTTCCTGCTTCGTAAAAAAAATTAACGTTAAAGAAGGGCTCTTAAACACACGTTCTGCCTTAGCAAAGTCAAAATTAGAGCTGTGTGTTTTTTGTTTGGTGTTAAAGTGGTCATTCAGACTTGCGATTGGAAGAGGAGATTAAGAGGAATGATCAATATTATATTATGCCGATTGTGAATATACAGATGTACTTGTAGCATACATATGTTCTCTTCCTCAGATCTTTCTGTCTCTCTGTCTCACCAACACGATGCCCCCCCCCCCCATCTCTCGATCTCCCTGTCTCTCTCTCTATCTCTCTCTCTCTCTCTCTCTCTCTCTCTGTCTCTCTCTCTGTCTCTCTCTTTCTCGCTCTCTCTCTCTCTCTCTCTCTCTCTCTCTCTATCGCTCTCTCTTTCTCGCTCTATCGCTCTCTCGCTCACCCCCTCGCTTGCACTCTTACTAGCTCTTTCTCTCCCTATTTCGATCTCTTTCCCTTTCTCTTGGCACACTCCTGCACCCATCTCGCTATACACATTTACTCACTCACACACACACACACACACACACACACATGCCCATACATACATACATACACATACACATAATCACACACACACACATTCACACACATTCACACACATACACACACATACACACACACACTCACACACACATACACGCACTCACACACACATGCCTACATACACACGCACCAACATGCAGGTGCACAAAATGATACTATAATTAGACCTCTTTAAAACTGACTGCACATTAAGATTTGTAATTAAACTGGTTTCTTATTCTCATCATGCCATTCACCATACAAAACATTGTCACAACGCAGTCATCTAAATGCCCCCTCTCCTTCCACCCCTCCCGGAAAAAACAAAGAAAAACCCCACAAAAAAAAAAATACAAACAAACAAAAATCCCCCCCCCCCTCTCACCGCCCAACCAAACAAAAACAACCCCTTTCTCTACCCAACTTGTTTCTACTTCCCATCTATAAAAATAAACAAACTCTCCCTCTCTCACGTCCCCTCCCCCTTCCTCCCACCCCACCCACCCCCCTTTCTTTCTTTCTCTCCTGTCCATCGACGCCCAGAGTCCGAGTCGTGCCACTTGACCATTGAAAGCCTGACCAAACATTGTCAATCCCTTGTCATGCCAAAGCAAAGCCAGCCACAATCCCGCGGCCCTGGCATCATAGGCAGTGTCAATATTTGGCCAGGACCAAGTCGCCGAGTGAGGCCAAGTTTGCACTCGGCGCTCGCCGGCGCTCGGCACAGCCATTGATGCACACTCTACTCTCCGATTCCGGGACTGGTGGGGAATGATGATGATGGCGCACTTCAGAATGAAAAAAAAAAAAGATTAAAAAAGAAAGATGTTATTGTAAAAATAAAGCTTTCTATTATTCTATTTTTTTTCTTAGAACATGTCTTCTTCTTTCATCTTCACTGTGTCATTTTTTTTTCTCTTTCTTTTTTCTCGGTGCCGACGCCACACATCTCTATCTATCTATCTATCTATCTATCTATCTATCTATCTATCTATCTAT